GCGTGCGGCAGCTGGATCTTGCGGGGGAGCCGCTGAACACACCGGTTATTGCAAACTCACTAGACGGCCGCTTCATGGCCAAAATAACCCGTCGCACACTACCAGTACCAGTCACTATTTCCGGCAATCACCACGAGCTCATCCGGTTCCATGTTATCAGTACCCCACAGTCTCCGCTGGTGTTAGGCTACACATGGCTTGCCCTACACAACCCACATATTGACTGGACCACTGGAACCGTGCTGTCGTGGAGCCCGCACTGTGCTGCTCGTTGCCTCCGATCCGCTGTTCCTCCCACCCTCTCCGCCACCTCAGACCCCACTCCCGAACCGACGGATCTCCCTGGGGCTCCCCTACCCTCCAGCAGGCTGTACAACCTGTCCAGACCGGAGAGGGACTCCATGGAGCAGTACATCAAGCAGTCACTACAGGCGGGTCTTATTCGACCATCTTCATCCCCGCTCGGGGCAGGGTTCTTTTTGTGGGTAAAAAGGATGGGTCACTCAGGCCGTGCATCGATTACCGCGGTCTGAATGACATCACTATTAAGAACAAGTACCCACTCCCCTTACTTAACTCTGCTTTCGACTCGCTCTCTGGCGCTGCTGTTTTCACCAAATTGGACTTGCATAACGCTTACCATCTCGTGCGCATCCGTGAGGGGGACGAATGGAAAACTGCTTTCAAAACCCCGCTTGGCCACTTCGAGTACCTCGTTATGCCGTTCGGCCTCACCAACGCACCGGCGGTCTTCCAAAACCTTGTTAATGACGTACTACGGGATTTCCTGAATAGATTCGTGTTTGTTTACCTTGAAGATATTCTGATCTACCTTACCGGACTGACGTCCACTAAGGTCCACTTCCACTGGACTGATGAGGCTGAACGTGCCTTTCAGTCCCTCAAGGACAAGTTCACCTCAGCCCCTGTTCTCATCCAACCAGACCCCGCTCGTCAGTTTATCATGTAGGTGGATGCTTCCGACACCGGAGTGGGGGCAGTGTTAAGCCAGAGAGCGGAGGTGGACAGCAAGGTCCATCCCTGTGCCTTCTTTTCTCGGCGCCTCTGCTCAGCCGAGAGACGCTATGATGTTGGCAACCGGGAACTGCTAGCCATTAAAA